AACCTTGTCAATAATGTGCTTCAAGATGATCCTCTCAAAGCACTTCATGATTACTGGGGTCAAAGTAATGGGACGATAATTGTTAAGGCAGGTGACCGCCTATTTTGTTGGGCACAGGAACAATAACAGATGATTTGAGACAGGCAGGGACTGTGGCATGATGTAAGGACAGATTGAAAATATCCAAGAAAACCTCTGCCAATTGGTCTGCACATGACTTGAGTGTCTGACCTGACACCGTGTCCGGTCCGGCAGCCTTGTTGATGTTTACCAGATTTTACCTGATGACACTGGAGGATAAGAGGCTGCTGCTGCTGCTCCAGCTGGGGGAGATGGGCCTGGTGTGTCAAAAAACTGGTGAGGTTTAGGTTTAAAAAAAATCCAACTTGATTACATTTAGAAGCAAAAACTACTTGGTTATGTTTAGAACATAAATGACTTAGTCACATTTAAAAAGAAAGCCATGTTATTACGTTTAGGAACAAAAACACAGCCTGTACACTGGAACTGAACTCAGGTCTCCTGTGCTGTGTGAAACCTAGACATCCACTCCAATTTCCTCCTACCATGGACTCAGTGCCTTTATATACTTACTGTACTCCTTTCCCTGTGTCATAATTAATATAGGTTGTGAGAGGTTGCCACACTATGACACATAGCATGTCACTGTAATAACCTGCTGGCACTAACAATATATACTGTCGCATTTTACAGGAGGAGTCTAACATCAGACTCTGTTGACTCTTTGATCATTTTGATTGTAAAACTCTGGGACCTATTGACAACATCACACATGAAGAGGTAAAAACCATCTCTAGCAAGCAGACAGTGTCATTGAGAAACATTCTGTTAAGTTCGCTCGGACACGGAGGTGAGCAAGTAAGAATAGACAGACCCAGGTAGCTGACTTTGGTGCAAGCAGTGCTAAATTTATTTACAATGATAACAACAGACAGGTAACTAGACAGGTGAAGGGAGATGGAGTATAACCGGGTGTCGAGCAGCAGCAGGGAAAAAAACAGTCAGTTGTGCAATGAATGATGGTAGACCAGACCCCTGAACTGGTCGTGGTTGAAGCAGTGGTGGCTGAGAAGACAGAAGTACGTACAGACAGTTAATGACGACAGGTGCATCGACCTGTATGGTGGAGACTGGCAGGGTTGAGTAGTTCCAGGGTCCGGAGGAGAGGCCCGTGGAGGAGGAAGGTGTAGCAATAGTCTGTGGAGGCGAAGGGACAACAGGGCTGGCAGGATCTTAGGGAAAACACATAAGGACTAGGAATCATACAACTGATAGGAAACAAACAAACAAACAAAAAAAAAAAATAACTAGCAAAGACAGGCCTGACAGTCGAGAAAGAACTGGCAAGGGAGTGAACGATGAGCCTAGTATAAGTAGGGAGGAACTAATCAGGTGCAGCTGGTGATAATCAGGGGAAGTGAAGCAGGTGTGCCAGATAGTGTAATCAGGGTAAGGGAGCCAAAACAGAGTGAGGGAAGTGAGAGAGGCAGGTGCAGCCGGGCAAACCTGACACACTCCAGCTATTACAACTCAGAAAAGAGAGTGCAGAAAAGCTGAGTGCAAATGGTGGAAAAGTAATAGATAGATAGAACTTTATTGCAGACTCAAGGTCCAGACTCCGAACAACAAAAAACAACAAACAATAAAAACAACAATAAAACTCCAAATAGTCTGTAATTATTTCAGAATCATAAAACCAAAGAGCCTCTTCCTAAAAACGAGAGGATAGTTCGTGAACACTCACAACTCCTACTTGCCAGTGTTGTGTCAAAATCTGTTCCCCATTGAGATGTGTTTCCTCTAACCTGAATCCTAACATTATCCTAACCACATCTACTGAGGGGGTCACTACATTAGTTTTGAACAGGGGAAACACATCTCAACGAGGGAACAAAAAACACTGTGTGACAATACCTCAAATCCTACCCGACATGTTCAAGCCAGAATATGAAAGTGGACAGCACAAACTGCAGAACTGCAATAGCATTAATTAGAATCAGAATCAGAATCTGCTTTATTGGCCAAGTGTGTTGGACACATGAGACAAGGTCATCTGCATACATTAAATGATTCACCACAACACCTCCAACCATGCAACCCATTCTACACATACTTAACTTTTTTTGAGAGATTATTCATATAAAACTTAAATAAAATCGGGGACAGCAAACTACCTTGCCTTACCCTGTTACTGGTCTGAAAAGGATCAGATATACAATTGTCCCATTTGACAAGCATATACTTGCAGGCATACCAATAAGACAAACATCTTACTATATATTTAGGCACACGGGCATCACACAATTTCTGAAATAATTTCCTATGATTCACCCAATCGAAGGCCTTAGAGGCATCTAAAAAACACATAAAGACAGTGGAATTCTTACTTTTATATTTACTAACCAATTCCTTTAGTGCAAATATACACATATCAGTGCCATGATTAGATTTAAACCCAAACTGGTTCTCAGTGGAGCCAATAAGATTACAAAACCTACTCAAAAGAATTGCCTCAATCTTCAGCTTCATTATGAGATCTTACAAGAGAGGCTTCACATTTACAATTTGTCAGGGCCGCTCCTCCGATTGTCTCTTCTGTTTTCTCCGTCATATGGACTTTGCACCTCAGCTGTGTTGCATTCCAGTAATTAGTAACTGGTTTGTCTACGCACACAGCTGGGGTGCATCCTGATGATTACCTTCTCCTTATATAAACCTCTGGCAGACGCTCCGTGCTCGCCGGAACATTAACTATGGAACAACTGTGCGTTTTTTGGCTTGATTCTTCCACACACCCTACGCGCTACGCTCTTCACACTACACCCCACCACACCACATATTTTTGATCCGTCTTTGCCAGAGCATTACCTAACTTACTTTACAGTACTTACCGGAATTACGTCCTTTTGATTTCCCGGCTGACAGTCCCTGTGCCGTGGATCTCATTTTGTATGTTGTTGAGTGTTTTCTGTTTTTTGTTTTGTTTTTTTTTGTGAGACGTTCCCGGCTGACAGTCCCTGTGCCGTGGATATCCGTTTTGTTCGCCTGTCTTCCCTGGTCCTCTACTCCTGTTTCCTGCCATTAGTTTGTGTGTGCACCTGTTCGTCCAGGTCTCCATCGTCATCACTCCTCTTCGCTTGTATGTATTATGGACACTGTTATGTTGTTACGTTGTTGTGTTGTCTTACATTAAACGTTTTTTGTGTACTAGCCCTGGGTCGGCTATCTTGAGTCCTACCCCTAGTTCTCCCTCACCCTCCTGGTGAGGGGGGCTAACCATAACACAATTCTGAAATAAATAAGGCTAAATAAGCATTTTTCTCTCACATTATCAATAGGAATATCAATTTTGACATTTTATTTGTCACTGTTGAGGAACTACCTACTCCTCCAACACGATCAGCCCCTGACTTTCTGTCTTAAAGTAAGTGTAATGAGTTTGCATCACTTAAAAAAATCAAAACATCAGACTGGCGCTAAATTCCTTCATGTCAAATAATACAGCTGTAGCCACACAGGGTCTATTTGGTTTGGATGTACTTAAGAATCTAATTTCATCCACCTTCTGTTTAAACACCTTGTCAATCAACTTCTTGAAAAATGGATATACTGAAACTTGATAGGGGTTCACCTCTATCAGACATTTTTTCAGAAACACTAAAAACTGCAGCTGTTAAGCCCCTTCTAATGAAATGCTGCCTGGATCCTTCAGTATTAAATCCTTTACAGGATAATCTCTAATCCCCAGTCTTTTGGAAAATGATTGAGAAAGAGTATTTGATTCAGCTGAAGAACTATTTAAATGTAAAAGGCCTTTTAGACAGGTTTCAGTCTGGGTTTAGAGAACACCACAAGACTGAGACTGCACTGATTAAGCTGTTAAATGACATTCATGTCAATACTGATTCAGGTAAAACATCAGTTTTTTGCTGTTTGATGTCAGTGTAGCCTTTGCAGAGTGGATTAAGAAAGTGACAAAATTTCCACTCACTCTATAAAGACCTATTGTTCAGTAATGGTGAATCATGAGTGCAAAAACAATTAATACAGGTGCTCCCAGCAATTTGCCCAGCATTGCAATCACTGGAAAACTTGAAGATAAAAGTACATCTAACAATGAAGGAATTTAAGCATAACTGACTGAGTTGTTTTAAATAACAGATGAGGCTTCATAGTATTAAAAGCAGAACTATGTTGTTAGCACAGCTATGCTTAGAAACTATATTGGTAATGTTTTTCTATGTAAAGCACTTTGAATTGCCTCTGTGTAGATGTGCTATATGACGCTCTATATAAATAAAGTTTCCTTTCCCTGTGACAGACTGCTGACCTGTCCCACGTCAATGTGATCTGCTCCAGCCCACCTGTGACTCTCTATAAGATAAATGGATTGAACAGCAGTGGCAACTGTAGTCATCCAAATATTGGCAGCCTTGGCTATTCTTATGACCTGAAGTGTCTGCCTGGGGGGAGCAGATAAAATAGATAACTAGGGTGCATTTTCTACACACCCTGTGCCTCAGCAAAACTGGTATGTTTGAATGTTTTTTAAAATTTATATGATATTTTTGCATTTAACTTCATTAAAAACTTCAGTAAAAAAGAGTTTGTTTACAAAGCTTTTGTTTGCCAAATTAAACAATGTAAGTACAACAAATTCATGTTTATGAGTTGACCTGACTGTTAATTTTAACATATTCAAGTTTGTACAACTAAAAAGCTTATAGTTGAGAAAACATAAAATGATGTTCCAGCTGGTTATTACTTCTGAAAGTTTACTCAACTTTTTTATTTTTACAGTGTAGAAGAGTTCAAATTCCAGCTTTTTTCACTGCAGGAATCCTGAAAGGCCCCATATTATATATCATTTCTTTTCTGACACCTCCACGGCACTCAATTAGACATTGTGAGACTCTCCACTACCCTGTCTGCAGAGGCAAAGTGGGAGGTTTCTGATGGTTTTTAAAAACATTTTCAACATGATTTTTCAAACACTTTTTGAGTGTATGGACTTCACTGGTTGGATGTTGTTGTTCAGTTTTGTGTTGTTACTTTTGACTGATGTGGTCAAAAATTGGAAGCCTCGCAACTTCCCACCTGGACCCTGGACTTTGCCTTTTCTAGGAAATGTCTTTACTGGAGGTGACTTCAAATCAATGGAGAAGGTGAGGTGAACAGTAATACAGAGTGTTTCCAAAGAGTAGAAAGGGTAGAGAGTAGAGTAGATCTTTACAATCCAAGGAGCAATTCTGGGGAATCAAGGTAGGTCGGGTTATTTAATAATAAGAATTAAAAAACTGGAAACCACTGATTTACACCTTTCTTTTGGTCTGAGTATGTTATGATAATATTCAAGTCTAACTGGTTCTCATCAGTTTTAGGGTAAGTCAAAACACATTAATATGTAAATTTAAAAAGTCAGTCTGTCTATGAAATAGGGGTGGAACAGTTCACAAACTTATGGATTGGATTGGATCATAGTTTTTGGATTGGTTAATCTGTAGGATCAGCAAAATAAAAAAATACATTTAAAAATTACATTTAAGAAAGAGGGGGTGGGGAAATAAAACTTTCATTCATTCATTTTCTACCGCTTAGTCCCTGAACGGGGTCACTGGAGCCAATCCCGGCCGGCAATCAGGCGAAGGCGGGGTACACCCTGGACAGGTCGCCAATCCATCACAGGGCTAACACATACAAACAACCACACACACTCCTATGGGCAATTTAGAGACACCAATCAACCTAAGCTGCATGTCTTTTGACTGTGGGAGGAAGCCAGATTAAACCCACGCAAGCACGGGAAGAACATGCAAACTCCACACTTTGATTCTATTAATTACCTAAGGAACTTAAGGAAGATGTTGCCCATGGTCTTAGGTGAAAACAATATTCAAAATCTTTCAATGTTTCAATAAAATCTTAAAAAATATAAGTATGAGGATACATTGTCTGGGGAGAAGGACTGCACTCATGCTGGTTTAGACGTAAAATGGGACTAAGGCTAGCTCACTGTGAAAAAAGTGGCAAAGATGTCATATTTCTGCAAGTTTGTGTTTTGTGTTAGGAAACAGCTGTTTCCTAAACTGCTCATACACTCTCCCTGACTAGCTGATTATGTTGCATTATGATTAAGGAGCATTGTGAATGCTGACATGAGGCTCTCTAATAATAATAATAATAATAACTTATTTGTTTATATAGCGCTTTACAACACCCAAGGGAGCTCAAAGTGCTTCATAACAAAACATATAAAAGCAGAACATGTTAAGACACAAACTAACAAAAAGGAAAAGTTAAAATTAGACAAATTTAAAACCACGGTTTGTAGGCAAATATAAAACTCCTGTACAATAAAAATTAGTCAAAGTACAAACAGAATAAGATTACAGAATATAAAATCAGAAAGCCTGAAAGCACCTGTATAGCACCACTGCTATAAATTAAATGCCAAAGTGTGGGGGGGGTCTGTAATCTGTTACATCACCAGCATGAAACAGGATGGCTAAAGTGTATTATCCAAGGAGCTAACTTCAATGTTAATAACATGTTCTGTCTGGTTCATTGTTGTTCTACCATCTTAAAAGCTCTGCACAGTACAGTATAGCCTGTATAATATTTCAAGGGTGTGGGGTGGGGTTACCCGAAATCTACCCCATGGCTATGTCTTTGGCATAAACAACAGAATAAAACCTTTGATCTCTCAATGCCTCACGTTGGCTTTGTTTGTGCCAGTTGGCTTGAAAAAGTGAAACTTGAACACACCACACTGACTACAGCCAACGGCCAACTAGCATATACATTCTACACATGTATCACTGAAATAACTCCTCCTGTCAGCAGTTGAGGGTATCTGTATTCACCATTCAGAAATGTAACTAAGAAGAACTAGAATGCCGATGTATAAGCTATAAACAAAACATCTCTTGTTCAAAACAACTGCTGTTTATAGCTGCTTCTAATTAAGAATATATCTGATAAGAAGTTTCAAATGACACTGATGTTCTCTGCCCTTGGTCTTTTGGTTGTGGAAGAAGAAGGGAGGCCACAGACGTGAAAGGAGAAGCTGCACTAAATGAGTGAAATCATGGATATTCCATTGATAGGCTGAAGGGGTTTTCCTGAACCATTCTCTTCTTGTACATTGTTTCACTGAGCTCAACAGCCTATCAGAGTGGTCTCTCTCTCTCATTGACAAGGCCTGACCACCGACACTGATTCAACATGTCAAATGGGTCAAAAAAGCCTCCAACTGAGGGTAACTAGGCCCAGTGGTGTGGGACACAGCAGGAGGATGAGCCCTGACAGATGCTCAATGATGGCCCAATGACGGCCTGACCACAGCTAACAGCTGATTATCACAGTTACTTCAAAGTTTGTCCTTCTTCATTAGGTGTTTATGTAACTGTCTGATGTATAATTTACCTGCTAAAAGATCTTAAAAAAGTCTTAGGCAGATGTTTTCTCTCATAAAAAATGATTTGTTTTGCAGCTTGCTCAGGAGCATGGCCCAGTGTTCAGCCTGAGGAGAGGTAATGAGAGGATGGTGTTTATTTCAGGATACAAGATGGTCAAAGAGGCTCTTGTTAACCAGCTGGACAGTTTTGTTGATCGACCTATCATCCCTATTTTCCATCCTATCGTCAAGGGCCTTGGTGAGTAAGTGAATGAAGGAATGGGAGCAGGGAGGTATGGTACAACTAATGGCTTTTCTTCACTAATCTTTTCATGCTGTGTTGAAGGATTAAGTTAAAATTATGGCCAACCCATGTGGGACAAACTGCATTATGAATTTTTACAGGCATAGCTTTGAGTAATGGATACCTTTGGAAGAAACAGAGAAAATTTGCCAATACTCATTTGCGTTACTTTGGAGAAGGCCAGAAAACTCTGGAAAAATATATTGAAGTGGAAAGCAACTACCTTTGTGAAGCCCTTAAAGAGGAGCAAGGCAAGTAGACTTGTTTTGACTTGTGTATACCATGCAGGAACGGGATTGTTTTTCTAGTATGCTTTATCATGACTTAATCAAATTTACTATATTCCCAGGAGGACCATTCAACCCCCACTACACTATAACCAATGCAGTCAGTAACATCATTTGCTCTGTGCTATTCGGACATCGCTTCGAATACAGTGATCAAAGCTTTCGCAAGTTTCTGGAGTTGGACAATGAGGCCATTTTTCTCTCTGGTTCTTTTGTGAGTCAGGTAGGTCCTATTAACCTGCTATATTGTAATTATAAAACCAACTAGCTCCTTAACTGATCTGAGAGCTTTTCCCATCAAACAGCTGTATGACGCCTTCCCTGGTTTGCTGAAGTACCTGCCAGGACCTCACCAGACTGTTCATTCCAACTACAAGGAGATCTTGACTTTCCTGAAGAAGGAAATCAAGAAGCACCAGGAGGAGGTGAACCCTGATGACCCCCGTGATTATATTGATGTATACCTGGCAGAGATAGAGAAGGTAACATATTTTTCCAGGTCAGTGATTATATGAACCACTGACAAAGAACATGGTGTCCTAGTGTTCTTGTTGTCCATGGTTCAGGTCCGCCTGGACTTATGTTGCATTTTATATCACTCTTTTTTCCCTTACTTTTTTCTCTTTGTAGACTATCAAAAATAACAATAAAAAAGAAAGAATTGATGAAGATACAAGTTGTGTTACACTGACAGGTGCAACACAGCTAACAGTAGAGTGGGAGGTAGACAGGCTTTCAAAGCACTTGGTGATGATGTGCTGCCTGACAAGTCAAAATGTTTGCTGTAAATAAGGTCTACTGAATAAGATGAAAATATACTCATAGCAAACTCACCTAATGCCACTAAAAAGCTTTAGGCATGTTCTAAGTACAGTTAAAAGATATTTGGAGATGCTTACAAGTTATGCTATGTACACATGCAATTTTCCATCTATGGTTAGTGATGTAAAAAATGGCCTATAACAGCACGACATTACTGTATGTATGGTGCCATCAAATTACAATGAATTCTGTTTATACATTACCAGAGAAAAGAAGATCCCCAGGCTGGCTTCAATGCTGACGGCCTGCTGGTTTGCATCCTTGACTTGATTGAGGCTGGTACAGAAACAACTGCCACCACGTTACGCTGGGGCCTTCTATTCATGATGCACTACCCAGAGATACAGGGTTAGTGTCTTATTAATCACATTAAGCACAGGTGTATTGTCATTAAGGTTGTAGCTATTTCATCCCTAGTGCTCACTGCTGCTTTGTAGCTATGACTCTGCTTCCTCACTCAGAGAAAGTCCAGGCAGAGATCGACACAGTGATTGGACAGTCTCGTCCACCCACCATGGCCGATAGACCCAACCTGCCCTACACTGACGCCGTCATCCATGAGATTCAAAGGATGGCAAATATTGCTCCCAATGGATTTCCCAAAATGGCCAATAAGGACACTACACTGGGAGGATACTTCATACCCAAGGTAATTAACTATTTGTCAGACTCACCCAGACATAAATGTCAAGCTGTGAATTGTGATTATTACTTTTACACAGCTGATAACAAAAACAACTCATGACTCTTTTCCCAGGGTACAGTTATTAATACGATCCTTGCATCTGTGCTGTTTGATAAGAATGAGTGGGTGACTCCACATACCTTCAACCCTGAGCATTTCTTGGATTCAGAGGGCCAGTTTCGCAGGAGAGACGCCTTCTTGCCATTTTCAGCAGGTTTGTTCTAGAATAGCCTTTAATTGCCAAGTATGCTTGAACATACAGGAATCTGACTATAGTAGAGAGGCTCTCAGTGTGTTGAAAATAACAATGACACTAAAAATAAATAGTAGAGCATTAAAAATGAGAATAAGAATAAACAGTGTGTGCATTCAAAAGTGGAAATATGTCCATTCAAAAATAGGAATGGAATGAGAGGAAAAAATAGCGTTTATAAATATATGTACATCTATATAAATTACGGCAGAAGAACTTTCAAATTGATATACATTGGTTATATTTACAGTTTATTATACTGGGGTTATTGCTGTGTTCAGTCACACAGTCATGAATTAAGCATTCATCAGAGTGACGGCACGGGGAAAGAAACTGTCCCTTGTAGCACTTTCCAGAGGGCCTCTTCTGTAAGCCTCTCCGTTGACATGACGAAGCTGCTTGAGTTTTACTGTGAACCGGGGCTCATTGTTGTTGTATGTACAGAAGGTCTTGGCACACATGTCCTCACAAAAGCTGATGTATGATGTCACAATGTCAGTGAGCTCATCCAGATCTGTAGACACAGCCTCAAATACACTCCAATCTCTGCAGTCAAAGCCGGTCCGTAGCTCTGACTTTGCCCGATCAGTCCATCTTTTCACTGTTTTGATTACAGGCTTTGCAGCTTTAAGTTTCTGCCTATTGGTTGGGATGAGACGGACCATGCAGTGACCAGAGAGACTGAGGGCTGCAAGGAGAACAGAGCGATAGGCGTCCTTTATTGCTGTGTAGCAGTAGTCCAGTGTGTTTTTGTCTCTGGTGGAACAACTGACGTGCTGTCTGTATTTGGGCAGTTTGTGGGTGAGATTTGCTCTGTTAAAATCCCCTAGAACAATGAGTGGAGAGTTGGGATGTTTGAGTCCCATGCTAGTTATCTGTTCAGCCAGGTGCTGTAGTGTACTAGCGTGGGCCTGTAGTCTTACAAACATTCTGACCATGAATGACAAAAATTCCCTGGGGGAATAAAATTGTTTGCAGTTGATGAAGAGAGTCTCTAAGTCCATGTCGCAAGTTTTTTTTCTAACACTGTGACGTCTTTACACCAACCTTCATTTATGTAGAAGCAGATTCTGTCTCCTCTCATTTTCTTGGACAACTCCATTACATGATCTACTCTGTATACCTGCAACCCCAGTATTTGTATTGTGCTGTCTGAGATAGAGTTGCTGAGCCAAGTCTCTGAAGCATAGAATAGCATAGTGAAACCAGTCAGAGTGAGTCCGGTTGACAAGGAGCTCATCCATTTTGTTCGCCAGATAGAGGATATTCGATAGGTGGATAGATGAGACTGGCGTCTGGGTCTTTCTCTGTCATAACTTAACCAAGGTTCACCATCATTTATATGCTCCATTTCAATAATATTATATGACTTACAAGAAATGCTATCATCATCATTATTCATAATAAGAACATGTACCATAGGGGAGAAATCTACTAACCTAAAACTGCTGCTGGTTGTTCCCCACAGGTAAACGGGTGTGTTTAGGGGAGCACTTGGCCAGAATGGAGCTGTTCCTTTTCTTTACGTCTCTCCTCCAACACTTCACCTTCTCTCCTGTTCCTGGAGAAATGCCCAGCTTGGAGGGTGTGCTGAGCCTCACCTATTCCCCACAGAAGTTCAGGATGCTAGCCGTGCCTCGCTGATGTTCACTATATCTTCAGCTATCCTCATCATAGAGGTTCACCTCTGTGAACCTTACATCCAACAATGGCACCTAATGATGACTACATATTATATGGCACTAAGCTTTCTACTACAAAAATAACAGTGCTGTGCGTATTTTAGCTGGCAGGTGTTTGTCACAGTACTGCACCAGTCTCTGTGCACGACTCTCCAGTCAATCTCACACTAAATAAAAAATTATACTGATCACAGAAATATTTGCTGTTATCTGGTGGTATAATAGTGGTAAAACAGTGATAGTCGATAAAGGAATATTTTAAATGGAAGATGTATAAATGATTCCTTTATTCTTTTGCATCTACAGTGTGACAGTTTTGGAGAAATGTCTTTCAAGATCCTATACATCCTGACTGGAGTAAGACAAAATTCATGAACACATCACAATCAAAATATATTCTGTTGCATACACATAGCCAGTAATGTTTATCTGAAGCCACGCCTATGTCATTTTTCTGATTTTGAACAAGAAGACAAAAGAAGAAATACAACACTTGGGCAGTATGCCGTAAAATTCTTTGATTTTGCAGTCACCAATTTATTATCTCATTCTATAACTAAAGCAGCCATTTATTTTTGGCTAATGAGGAAATGATCATAAATCAGTAATAAGGTATAGCAATGAGGAGCACAAATATTTGTAAATCAAATTATTTTTTTTGCAGTTTGTCACCAAACATTCATTTCCCATTGGAATCCCATGTTCTTCTCTGATTTGCCACTGAACCGAGCCAAGTGGCCGTGATCAACAAAACGCTTGGTCATGAACTTTGACCTCAGACTGACGCTGCATCACAGCTACTTCAATTATACTGTATTGGTGGTGCAGGACAAACATCTTCAGAAAACTCACACCACTACTCACAGCTGTTACTAAATGGACCTGAGACAAAGAAATCTATCCAACACTGACTGATGAGGACGTCAACCTTTTTTGTCCACACATCCAAAACATCTGGGTGGAGTTTCATAAACATGATGTCTGAAATCTGTGGCCTCAGCAACAACTCATCCTGCATCACTGCTTTACTTGGTGGAATCTCCACTTTACAAACACTTAAACTTGACAAACCTGAATTAATAATAATTATCTCTAATCACTGATAACATATGTAGGTTATATTACCAAATGGGAAAATGGAATAAAAGCGTCTGAAAATCACTGAACCACTTTCTTTTTCCTTGCATATCAAAAAAAAAATCATGTTAAATTGTTTTATGCGGATGATACGCTGTTTTTTATTTCTACTCCAGGAAATCATTAATAATGTATATTTTGATAAATAATATTTGGATCTACTTCCAGGGCAGTGATATTGAGTCCAGAGATCTCAGTGACTTTCAGCAGAAATGGTCTCACTGTGGATATTAACCAAGGTCATAAGTAAAAGAGGAGTGACTGTAGGAGAACCCTGACAGTCTTAAAACCACTGAAGGTCTCTGGGAGAAAATGTTACTATTTTAACTTTGTGCATTAATGAAACTAATTTTAATAATATACAGTGTTTGTTCCAAAGAAAGTAGGTCAACAGACATAACTCTTAAAGTTTGGAATCTTTATTGTTGGCAACTTCTGAAAACATGAGCATTAGCAACAACACGTTAATGGTGAAACATAATGAGAGACAGAAACAGACAGGCAGACAGAGTGCAGACTGGGAGCAGTAAAAACATTGTGGTGAGTCAGTACTGGGAACACTGGTCTCTCCTCAGAGTCTCTGAGACTGGACTCTGGGAGCCCCGGGTGGCCTCATGGCCTCACAGGTCACAGAGCTCATCCTCCACCACTGGTCTGCAGGGAGTCTCAGGGTGCTGCTCCAGCTGTAGCGCCCGTCCTCCAGCACCACGGGGCTCCTGCTCTCCTCCCAGTCACTCACTCACACATCGTTTCACTTCCCTCTGAGAAGCCGCTCATGCACATCAGCACTGAGACAATATCACAGTTTGACCTGAAACATGTCAAACTACTGAGGAAATAAAACTTGATCATCAAATAAACAAGAATCTTTACATTTCCATTAATTAAACTTTGAAACAATTTACAAAAATAAACAACAATAATTTTGCACATTTTCAAATACATTCTCTATCTTCACTCTGTCAGTTTTACATGAGGAAAGTGAATTTTATTTTATTGTACAGTTATCAATGTGGAGGAAAGTTAAACATGAACTCTGGGGAACATTATGACAATAGAATCAAAGTTTTAATCTTTTCTGCACTTTATGTTATTTAAAGCTCATCATGATAAAAACTTGTAAGAAGTTTAGAAAAGCTGCTCTGAGTTCACCTCCATGATGGAAGAGGAGGAATAAATACATGAATAGTAAAAGTGTAGAAAAGAAAGCAACAACAAATTGTACCTGGTGGAAACATTTAAAACTTATGTTAAAGTGGTTTTCTACAAATTGTATTTAGTAAATATGCAACAACTTACTTCCAACCTCCAGTCTGGTTCCTCCACCCAAAGTCAACCACAGTGATACAAAGTCACTGAGTCGTCATACAAAAACCTCTGTCTGTCAAAGTTTGATTTACTTATCTGGTTTGATTGCTGTTCTGTTTTAACCAAACTGTTTCTCTCTATAGCAATCCAATTCTGCATGTTGGATAAAATGCTAGCTGCATACAGAAATGTTCTTCCACAGACTTATTCATATGAAAACTACACTAAGAAGACTATGGTCTCTGTAAATTATTAGTGTTTATGAACCTGAATGAACATTTATTTGAATCCAATCAATTGTTGTATGAAAAGAAAAACACCTGTGCTAAAAGCTGCTTATATTTACACTGTAAATCAATTATTTGTTCATACATCTTTTGCTAATTTCTGGGATGTTGGTGGGTGCAAAGATTGAAGTCAGTTTTGTGGAACAGCATGCACCAAACCACCACACACCTACAGTATATTACTGTATGTGTATGATAAAACTGGGACATTCTTTTTGGAGTTTCAGTTAATTTGGATGAAATCCACATGCAACTCAGTGAAGCGGCAAAGTCAAATCAGAGTTACATGTTCAAGTCAG